ATAAGCTTAGAATTTCGTTTTCAAACACAACTCTACATTACATTTTCGTTTTCCCCCTTTTGGGGTTCTTTTAGGTTTTCGTTTTTCATCTTCTTCCTCCTCCAAATTCGGTTTTGCTTCTTCCTCCATGGAAGGCTAGAAGTTTAGTGCTAAATTCCTTTGGTAATGTATCACACTCTTGAGGTTTAGTGCTTAATGCATTTTCGGTTTCTATGTTGTTGTTAATGCAATTTCGGTTTTATGTTGTTGAAGCTTCTATCTTATTTCATGTTATGGTTTGCTTAATTCCATGGTGTTGTTTTAGGTTTGTGAACTGATTTTCGCTTAGTTAATTAGTTCTCTAGCACATAATCGCTTAGTTTATGTGAATCTGTAAATGCTCTATGTTTATGTTGAATTCGCTTAGTTTGAAGCTTAAACATTAGAGTTATGAACAGATTAGGAATTCAATGTGTAGAATCTGAAATTGATGCTTTGATTCGTGTGACATTGTTAACTGTTTGTTGCTTATGCCAATTTCGCTTAGTTAGAAGTTTAGCAATTTAACTGTGAGTTGATCATCGCTTAGTTAATCGACTCTCAACAAAGGAACACTAAGAATCTGATTTTGATATATTGAAACCGAGGATTGAGTTGTGAACAAGGAAACCAAAGGGATTTAGCCTCCTTACTATTTTGTTTTCTGTTCGTGTTCTGTTTTAGCTTAATTTCATAGCATAACAACCACTAAAACCCCCCATTCTGTGTGTGCGTGTAAGGTGTTTGAACCATTGTGTGAAAGATAATCTTTGGGAAACGACCTAGGAGTCACTTCCTAGTACTATACTTTATTGTTATATTATTTGTATCGAGTACGGCCTCGATCAGTCGTATCCACCCCAACTATTGAGCCTGTGGTGGTGTCGACGTTTGTGTCTCGATGTCCGGTAGTGGTAAACGGTAGGACATTTACCGTGGATTTAATCTGCTTACCACTGTCCCAGTTAGATATAATTCTGGGGATGGACTAGTTATCAGCAAATCATGTCAGGCTTAATTGTGCTAATAAGACCGTTGTGTTTGGAGATCTGGGGGAGATTTCTGATGAGGCTTGTTATAAGAAGCCGTTGTCGGCTAAGGGAGTCAGAAATTCCATTAAGGAGGGAGGAGTCGTGTTTGTTTTGATGGCATCCTAGGAGGGTATTGAGAAACCCATAGTTGAGGATATTCCGATAGTTCGTGAGTTTCCTGAGGTATTTCCTAGTGATATTCCGGAATTACCTCCAATCAGAGAAGTTGAATTCTCCATTGACTTAGTGCCGGGAATGGGAACCATCTCTATAGCTCTTTATAAGATTGCACCGTTAGAGCTGGCTGAGTTGAAAAAGCAGGTTGAAGACTTGTTGGCGAAGAAGTTTATCCGCCCTAGTGTTTCGTGTGAAGAAGATCTTGCTCCTGACCTTGGCACGGTTTTGATGAAGACACCAATATCACAAAAAGAAGAGAGGAATAAGACCGACAAAGAATATCGAAGATAAAGCTTCAAGATTTAGAGTCTAAGTCTTTAGGTACTTCTATCCTTACAACTCATTTATTTACTTAGTTAATAATGCTCAAAATTGTTTTCAAGAAAATCAAGAAAAACTAAGTGTGAATAAAAATGATTTTAAAAAACAGCATGTAACGGGTTACCATACTTGAGTAACAAGTTACATGAGTGAGAAAAGAGTTTTCAAACCTCTAACAGCTACGAGTAATCCATTACAGACTTTGGAGTAACAGATTACCATTTTTAGAAAACAGGGTAATCGATTACTCAAAGTAGTGTAATCGATTACACTAAGGCAAATTCATAAAGCTGTCAAATAGTGTTGTTGAGTAATCGATTACTCAAATCCAGTAATCGATTACACTGTGTGAATTTTCAAAAAGATGTTAACAGGATTGTTGGGTAATCGATTATCCATTTGTAGTAATCGATTACTAAGAGTTGTTGCATCAGTTTTTCAGATTTCAAGTGAAAAGGTTTCACTCCAAACTGATTGCTTTTCATTCCAAACGAAACCTACTCATCCCTAATGGTATTGTGGTTGATTGGAAGTCTATATAAAGGCAATGAAACACTCTCACAACAATGTATACAACAACATACAACAACTCTCATAATAAAATCACACAAAGCTCTTATACTTTTCTAAATTTTTTGCACTTTTCAAAGCAACATACTCTCAAACTTTCTAAGTATTTCTGAGTTGCTTCAAAGTGCTTTCCAAACATTTTCAAAGTTAAAAGAGCATTATTATCTCAAGTATACAAGTTGTTATTGGATTGCAAGTTCTAGAAGTTGTTATAGTGTTTACCAAGGGTGTTACTTGGAATAGAGTTTTCCAAGGGGATTAGATATAAGTGAGTGTGTAAGGTACAAGGAGAACTCGGGGTGAGATATTTGTAATTGCAATTCATTACATTTAATAAAGGAATCTCTTCCATCTTAGTGTGCGCCCACCCCAATGTCTATACAAAGGATTGCGTATGGGAAATATTGAAACCGTCCTTTCCAGTAGTATCGCTGCTGTCTTTTTTGCAGCTTTTGTTGTTGCCGGAACTATGTGGTATGGTTCAGCAACCACCCCGATTCCTCACTTCTTTCTCTCATTCAAAACCGTTCATGAGACTTTCAATCATACCGCGTAATCCTTTAAAGCAGGTTCTGAGTGAGTTATTTCATCTCCACGGTTTCTTTCCTTTGACTCAAAATGAAAAATCAACAAGCAGGGCCTGAAATTCTTTTTTAATGCTTTTGTTTATTATATTCTAGACTCATTATATACTAATATATATATATATTAGTATATATAAGTATATATATAAGTATATTCACTTACTTAGCTATATTTAATATTTCAAATATACTTATACTCAAATATACTTAGTAAACGAGGAAAAGGATCCAATGACTTCGAAAGAATTGAATGAGGAGCCGTATGAAGTGAAAATCTCATGTACGGTTCTGTAGAGTGGCAGTAAGGGTGACTTATCTGTCAACTTTTCCACTATCACGCCAAAAAAAACAAACTCTGCCTTACGTAAAGAATGGAAATCCTCACACTCTTTAGGAGTGAAGCCCTTATATCAGCTTTCCTCCAAAACCGGACCAGTTATTAATTCAATCACAGCTTATACAACTCGCAACTCGGTAATGAAATGGTCGCCATCAGCCTGAGATCAGATCAAGGTTATCGAGATTATCTTCGTAGTAGCCTCATTAGACCGTACATCTTTCTTGGTATATCCAGATAGTAGATAGGAGCATAAACTGAAACATTCTGGAGCTACAAAGATAGTTATTAAATCGTTAGCGCCGCATAAAAACATTCCTCATAGAGTAGCTGTTAATACCAATAACAGAAACTCTGTTATGGCCATTTCTGTACATTCAATATACTCTACGGATAGAGGAATACATAGAGTTATGGGGCAACATAAAAATTGGGATCATTTTATATGAATAAGAGCATACTGTGGATATTTGTATTGGTTGACACCAGTATATAAGTCATGTTACACTGTTGAATAACAAGATATAAAAAAAAATAGTTCTGTTATTAGTTCTTCTGTTATCAGTTATTAAGTAGACCCACAATACAATGTCTATAGGAAAAAAAAAAATAGACATAAAGGGTTGGGCGAGATTAGACATACTAAGATATAGGCGTTCCCTTAGGTGAATACCACCATACCCTATTACATATTTACCTTAGCGCTTGTTTTCTTTTATTATTTTTCTTTTAGGCTCGAAATTGGATTTCTCCTTGATTGAACTCATTTCATATCACATGGTTCACACCTTAAAAATAGATTGTGGGGTTTATCACTATAGTCTTTTCGAAATACGAAAAAGGTTCTATGAGAACCTCGGGATGATCTGTCAACTATTTAATAAAACTATTTAATCAATTACGTCTTCGAAATGCTAAAAAGATTACTTTCTTTTTTTTTTATATATGATATGATACCGGGAATTGGTGTATTGAAAAAAAAAGAAATCTGTTAATTCGAAGCGAAAGAATAAGAGTTGCTTTTTGATTATTTCAGTGGAACCAATACAAATCCAATGGATTAAACAAATAAAAAAATTGGGACACTGTGAGATAGATAGTATGGTAGAAAGAAATCAAATTGATTTCTTTCTACCAAACTATCCGGACTATCCGGATTTCTTTCATAGAATTCTGCTGATTCGAGTCCGACCGTCTTATTTAAAACTAAGAAGACCGTAAATTTAAATCAAATCCTTTTTCATTTTTTTATTCAACCGTTGTGATAAGAATAAAGAATGTGATCTGGCGTACAATTTCGGCGATTAAAAAAGGAGTATATCCCTATCCCTTAGTGTCTTTCCACTTCCCTCGTTCAGGAACAAACCCTTCGCCTAATTCTTTTGAATCCGAATCTCGGCCCGGTTTTTCCCCACTAACCAATTACGTTACGACCACTAAACAAACTTGGTTGACGAACATGGTTTATGCGCCGCTAATGTAGCGGCTTGTCGAGCATTTTACAAACTCACACCATCCATTTCAAATAGGACTTGTCCCGTGGACACACGAGCAATCCAACCCGTAGGATTTCCTTTTCCTCTTCCCATCCTTAATTCTGTAGGTTTCCATTTTGAGGGCTTTTAAGGACAGACTCGCTAGTGTCCCAAGGATTGACCGGTGACACTACTAACTGAATTGCCCTAAGCTAAGATATGTCTTTTTCCTTCTAACTAGGACTGAATCCATAGAAACCTTGGCTTAGTGCCATTACTGTAAGCGGCGGATGATTGGTATGCAGGATCGGTTGCAACGGTTTCACATGAATGTGAATGAACATTGATTCTTTTGCGTCCGGGAAAAAAAAAATTCAAATGTTTTAGTACCTAATGATCAAGTAAGACATAAATTCTTTAGTTCTAACCCTTATGGTTAAAAACAAATCTTGATTCCAGATTTATTAGGATTTAATCAAATCATATGTATGGATCATTTTTATTTCCTACATCCTAATATTTCTCCCCATTCTTCGGATTTATTGGCAAAGAGACGAAGAAATAGATTCATCATTCCATTTACATTCCAATCGATCCAAGAAAGAGACAAACAGTTCGCCAGGTTGTCTCTTGCCTGCCCGTGGATTCAGGAGCAGTTCGAAAAGTTGACCTATTCGGGAATCTCCAGATCTACGCTTATTTTCAACTCCCCGAAGCATTTCGTCGCTTACTACGCCCTTCCTCGTCTCTAGGTGCCTAGGTATCCACCATAAGCCTTTCCTCGTTTGAACCTCACCCTTAACTTGAACTTGAAGGCTATGCCATCTTAAGGTGCTGCTAGATGGAAGGATCTTATCAACGTCCATGAATGATAAATCATAGCATAGATCAAACTGCCGAATCGGGACAAAAGTATTCGGTTATTGGTGAAAAATCAATATACTTCTAATGTCGAATCGGGATCAACTAGGACAGAAATAAAGCATTGGGTCGAACTCTTCTTTGGTGTCAAGGTAATAGCTATGAATAGTCATCGACTTGTCTTCTTCTAGTTGGATCTCCAAGTTTTTGGAATGCTCCAAATTCTACTTGAGCATCCAAATCTGGGTCGATACCAGCAAAAACATCTCTGAACAAGGTTCTAGCACCATGCCAAATGTGTCAAAAAAAAAAGAGCAGAGCAAACGAGGCATGCCCAAAAGTAAACCAACCCCTTGGACTGCTACCCAATTTCAAACGCTTATAGACACCCTAATATTCTTGCAGAATTTATAGCTGGACAATTAAAGAATAGAGTTTCGTTTCGTAAAGCAATGAAAAAAGCTATTGAATTCAAACGCAGCAACGGTATCATAATACACTATAATGATAATGCTGCGGTCATCATCGATCAAGAAGGAAATCCAAAAGGAACCCGAATTTTTGGCGCAATCGCCAGGGAATTGAGACAGTTAAATTTCACTAAAATTGTTTCATTAGCACCGGAGGTATTATAAGACGAGACTCTGGCATAGCTATATTATTTGTGAATAAAATAGATTCATTAATAAATTATATCTCGACACATATACCTTTTGTAGTAATTTTTATATTATTCTCTCTCTCTCGATATATATATATATTTCATAAAGATTTGATCACCTCAATAAAATAAATAAAAAAAGATATCAATATTTTAGAATAAACAATAGAAAAAGGAGCACGTTGATTATATTAAAAATCAGGGATAAGAATCATTTTCGTTTATCATGGGTAAGGACATCATCGCTGACATAATAACCTCTATACGAAATGCTGACATGAATAGAAAAGTAATGGTTCAAATACCATTTACTAACATTAACGAAAACATTGTTAAAATACTGTTACGAGAGGGTTTTATTCAAAATGTGAGAAAACATCGGGAAAACGACAAATATTCGGCAGGAGATAGGCATTCGGATTCGTTACTTGGGCTGATGAGGGTAAGGAATCCGTTATTTCGGGATAAACTTGATATCTTAGTTTGGCCTGCAATAATTGCATTGTAGCGGGTATAGTTTAGTGGTAAAAGTGCGATTCGTTCTATAGATCCCATAATAGTTAAGGGATCCCGAGCAAAAAAATTATTTATTGCTTAAAGGAGTTTATACATGTGACCCGCTATCAGGAAAAGAATTGCAATAGCTAAATGGTGGTGTGCAATATCGGTTAGCCATAGACCGCCAGTTACTGGATCTAATCTCACATCCCATTAAATAGGTAGAAGATTCATTAAATTGTGAAACATTACCCTGCCATAGTGTAATGTGCTTCCAATGCCAATAAAAATTAACCCACCCAATGGTATTTAACATCCAGAAAACTGCCAAATAAAATGCATCCCAAGCCGAAATATCACAAGTACCACCCCGTCCCGGACCATCGCAGGGAAAACTATAACAAAAATCCTTTTGTTATCAAATGAATTGAAATTACAATTGATACGACCGAAAACGATATATGAGTTAATATATGCTCTAAGGTTGAAAATATCATAAAAATAAAATAAAAACAAAGAAAGGTCTGAATACTAGGAATAGAATATAAATTGGGAATTGAATTTGTTATAGGACTTACTCTTTTCGAAGGTTAGAGGTGTTCCAGAAATGTCTACGATCGAGTAAATAGCTCTACGAACGAATGGATCGGATCGAATTGGAAAACGGAAAGATTTGTATAAGTTATACCCTTCGTCACCACTTTGCGGAAAATCGTTAGGTATCAATATGTTAGATACCTGCGACTCGATTGGTGAAATAGTATCTCTCTCCAAAAAAACATGTTTTTTTTTAACGCCGCACAAAGAAAATATTTTGTTGCGAATGAACAAGATAGTGAGGAATGTGACTAATTAACCAACCAACAAAACTACTTATTAAAAATAACAATTTGTTGTTCCATTGAAACATATAAATAGTTCCTAATCTTACTAACATTGAACTTAGTAAAAAAAGGGGGACTCGGCTTAACTTCACTTTTGTTCGGTTTCCCTTGGAAATGATGGAATAAGCTTTTCTTCCTCTTAGCGACTATGAGCTCATAGGGAGCCGTTGGTTAGCTGGGACTAAGAAGGGATAGGATTTGATTAGCGCGCTTTCTGCCTGTCCTTTCCTTACTCTGTCGATGGTATGCCTGAGATGGCAGTCTTTCTCCTTGGCTTGTACTCGAGATCCGATGTTCGAAAGTCAACCAATCCTTTTCCAGTAACCATTCTGTTCCGAGTGGGAGTTCCTTAAAAATTAATTGAGAGTTCTTCGGCGGCTTTGAATCGTCTCTTGTATTTGACGCATTGCGCAATTCATGCGTTTCTGTTTTTATGACCAGAACTTTTTTCTTTATTTCCATTTCAAATTGTTCTCTGGACTTTTTATCAATATGAGGTGATCGTAACACAGTATATAAGACTCGTGATTCAGGCAATCCAATATTCCGTGTGTAAGGCGGAAGCCCCCCAAAATGGTTTTCAAAAAATGGGTGATCAAAAGATCGAATCACTATGCGTTGTTGTTATAATTGAAATGGGGGAGAATATTTTTTTGGAGGGTATATTCTCGGATATTTTTTTTGGTATCGTTTTGGCGGCATGGCCGAGCGGTAAGGCGGAGGACTGCAAATCCCTGTTCCCCAGTTCAAATCCGGGTGTCGCCTGATCAACAAGAGAATTTAAATAGATTTGTTTTCAAAGATTCGTGGTAACAAAAAGAGCCCAGCTAAGTATTGGCATGGACAGGCTCTGGTTGTATAAAAAGAAACTAAAAAAATGGAATAAATTATATTATTATTTTATTTTATATTTTTTATTTATATTTGTTTTTCCATTCTTTATTATATAATAAAGAATGGAAAAACAAATATAAATAAAAAAGAGATAAAAGATATAAAGAGCTCTACAAAAAAGACCAACCTTTTATTTTTTTTTTTTATGCAATGTAACAGAAACTTACTTCGTAATTCATTTTGGAGCACGTAGGAATGCCGACCACTACATAAGCCACTGGTGGCTGAGAGAAAGCGAGCAACACCTTGTATAGGTTGGGCGGAGCTTGAAGAAGCGATCCCCTATAAGAGAAAGCCATTGCTAGCTAGCCTAGCTAGCTAGCAGTTTTCAGCTGGTTGTTATGTTAGTTGTAGCGCGCCTTCCCTCCTTATCTCACTTCGGAAAGATTTAGCAGTCTTTTCTTATGATGACCTCCTTTTCATTTTTCATTCTTATTACTTTTTTCATATTGAAAAAATAATAAGAATGAGAGGTGTTAATAAGCTTTTTATCATCCTAGCGCCGAGCTATTTTTACGCAGGATTGATTGGTGTGGTTCCTCTACGCCTAGGACACCAGAATATCGAACCATGAACGAATAAAGGCATGAGATAAAAAAAGCATATTGGCTATTCATTGTGCTTTATTTCATTTGATTACTCATGCTTATTCAAAAGCACTATTGTTTTTAGGATCCGGATCCATTATTCATTCAATGGAAACTATTGTTGGTTATTCTCCCGATAAGAGTCAAAATATGGTTCTTATGGGTGGTTTAACAAAACATGCGCCAATTACAAAAACTTCTTTTTTAATAGGTTCGGGATATCCCCCACTTCAACCCAACCAAAAAAATGATCTAATTGCACTTTATTACACTTAACGCTCAAATTTTTTGATGATTCAAGCAATTTTGGGGGTATAAAAGAGAAGTATATCTCCATCGGGGGGGAGAACGGGGTAAATCCCATATGACCAAATATATCTGACAAGTCACACTATATGTCAATATTTATGCTATTTATCAATTGATCCGATTTTTCTCATCTTTCTATCGTTGTGCTGTTCTACCCACTGCTTATCGATAATGAATAACTTTAATTTAGTTTTTGGTAGGGCTTTTCCCCATTGCCATCCCTTTTTACAATTCCCTACTTATTATTTATATACTCATATAAAACTTCTATTCATACATGATTGATATTGAAACCATCAACTTCTTAGGAGAGTAGCTAGACTGAGTTCCACTTCTATACTCCAGTTTACCGAGGACTAATGGCTGGCTTCTTTGTCTAGTCGCAACTTTCAAACTTAGCCTAGCTGATTGGCTTTGTTTTGTTCCTGAATACTGCCCTAAAATAAAATCAAACTTTCGTTCAGTGACATCACAAGGGTTGGTTTGAACGCTTAGGGCAATTGGTAGGGGTCATCCGATTCCGAATCCGCGCAAGAGCGCTTCTTCTTTTGGTCCCTATGGCTGGTAGGGGTAGCATTGACTATGTTCATGAGCCAATCCTTTCTTTGGTTCTTTATAGCTGATAATCAGTATAAACTCAGGGGGTATGAGTGCATGATTCTTTCTCTTCTTCCACAAGCTTAGAGAAAGAGACCGAAGGAGGATATGAAAAATCCGCGGATTCCCTAAAGCTAGAGCAGCTACTTCCTTAGAACTGCTCCGAGATGGTATTCAAGAAAAAGATGGCTTTCCCTTTGAATGAGTAGATCTTCCAGCCCCCGTGCCTACCTTTACTCAATGCTCCTGAAGTCCGAAAAGGAGACTGTGAGTGGACAGGGGGCAGGGAAGTTCAGTTACAGAAAATCATTTATTTTGGCTTTTTGGCCCCATATTGTAGGGTGGATCTCGAAAGATATGAAAGATCTCCCTCTCCGTACGGTTTTCAGTGGCCAAAGATAGATAAGTTAGTTATTGATAAAGCGGGTTTCGTCTCATTTTCCGGAAAGCCAATCATACTATTCCACTTTAGCTAAGCTAATGATGAAAGAGGATCTGGATTTGTCTGCAGATGATGATGTCCACTCCTGGCTCGATGCGCTTAACGAAAGGGAACTCTGTAGATTAAGAAAGAATTTCCTTAGTAATTAAGCAGCATCCTTTAAGTGAGTAGGGGTGCGCCGGTCCGCAAGCCGTACATACGACTTTCATCGAATACGGCTTTCCACAGAATTCTATATGTATTTATGTATCTATGAGATCGAATATGGAATTCTGTTTACTCACTTGAAATTGAGTATCCGTTTCCCCCCTTTTCCTGCTAGGATTGGAAATCCTGTATTTTACATATCCATACGATTGAGTCCTTGGGTTTCCGAAATAGAGTACAAATCTATGAGCTCGAATTTCCCATTGTTCCTCAGTAGCTCAGTGGTAGAGCGGTCGGCTGTTAACTGACTGGTCGTAGGTTCGAATCCTACTTGGGGAGATTCGATTAATTCATACCAATCCACAGAATTATTTGAATTTTGATGTAAAAGGTCTATAGACGGAATTAACAATTTTGATAATATGTCTAAATCTATTCCTTCTTGGTTGAAATTTATTCCTATGGCCCCAATCAATAAAGTAAATAGTACTAATAAAAGCATAGAAAATAGCATAGTAACCAAACTCTGCCTTACGTAAAGTTGCCAGAGTACGCTTAACCTCTGGATTTGAAATCACTGCTTATATACCCGGTATTGGTCATAATTTACAAGAACATTCTGTAGTCTTAGTAAGAGGGGGGAGGGTTAAGGATTTACCCGGTGTGAGATATCACATTGTTCGAGGTTAATCGAGGAATCCTTCATCAGTGGTTGTGAATGACCGATTTTTCTCAATCTTTATGACGGAACCAAGGTAGAAAAGATTGAGAAATAGAACCATCTGATTTGATTCCTTTTGTATACGTCATTAGGGATTCGACTTCCCCTGGGGGTAGGGTACTACGAAAGGAAGTTGATCATGGATTATCAAAAAGGATTAAATTGATTTTTCCTGGGTCGATGCCCGAGCGGTTAATGGGGACGGACTGTAAATTCGTTGGCAATATGTCTACGCTGGTTCAAA